AACTGAAAGGTCAGCCACCTGTATGTCCTGACCCAAGCTGCTCTTTAAGGACTGCACTGACAGGGTTAGTTACCCTACAGGCTGCTGTCATCGGCAAGTGGGCAAGTGTGAAAGTAAAGGAGACCAGAGCAACAGCTGTGGGACCTCAGTTGCAGAAGTCTGCCCGTGCTGCCCGTGACTTAAAAATGAATGGGCAGGGAGGGTCTGTGCTCTCAGCTAAGTGAAACACTGTCATTTTCTAGCTCTTTCTTTTTAGGTGTTTCGGTTTTTAGGCAAAGATAGTCACTCCTTTAAAGCGTTCTATCATCCTCAAGTATATGTTTGTTTTGGATGTTATATCCACATCTCTAATTTTGGACGTTCTGAAATGGAACTCATTTTTTTTTTTTTTTTTGAGACGGAGTTTCGCTCGTTACCCAGGCTGGAGTGCAATGGCGCGATCTTGGCTCACCGCAACCTCCGCCTCCTGGGTTCAGGCAATTCTCCTGCCTCAGCCTTCTGAGTAGCTGGGATTACAGGCACGCACCACCGTGCCCAGCTTTTTGTATTTTTAGTAGAGACGGGGTTTCACCATGTTGACCAGGATGGTCTCGATCTCTTGACCTCGTGATCTACCCGCCTCGGCCTCCCAAAGTGCTGGGATTACAGGTGTGAGCCACCGCGCCCGGCCGGGAACTCATTCTTTCTTTAACACTACTCTCTTCACTTCTCCAAGCCAGGTGTTTATACAGTGTCTTCATTTCAGCAAATGATGCTCTAATCTATCAGGGTGGGAAAATTAGAAATGTGTATGTTGTCCTTGCCACATTTATCTTCTCCTGCTTAAGCTCCTCAGACTAAGTTGGGTCACTGTTTTGTCTCTCATGATACTATGAGATTTTTCATTTGTAGAACTTATGAAATTTTACAATCACAGATTCATGCTTAGGACTATTTTATGAATATATATTTGTCACTTCATTGACCTGCAGGCTGCACAAAAGCAAGGATCATATGTATGTTTACTCATCAGAGCTTTTGTATCTATATAGCTACAGTGCTTATCACAAAGAACTCAAAAATTAATTGTTGAATGAATCATCCCTTTCTTTGCTGCAGTATTTACAATGCCATGTCTTTAGGCAAGGAATTACTTATAATGGCAACTATCAAAAAGGAATGAAACAACCCTGGAAATGGTGATGTGTTCATCATTGCTTTCTAGCAACATCTGGATGATCTTCTGTCATTTTGAATTTAGAAATGTTTGGATTAGTTGATCTTTAAGTCCACCCCACATCACGGTTTAGTATTCTGTTGTGGTCATTCAAACCAAACAGATTGGCATAATGAGAACTTTGCTTTAGAATGTCAGGAGACCTGAGTTTTAGTTCAAATCTCAGTAACCTTGAACTGCTCACTTCCACTATCTGTAACTGTTTTTGCATCTTTAAAATAAGGTACATTAGTAAGGATAAGTTAGGTTATCGAGAAGTAACAAGTAACCCTGTTAACTCAGTGATTTAATATAATAAGATTTCCTTCTTACTCAGTTTATGTCATGTTGGTGGGCAGAGTGTTCTGGATCATATCATCACTCAGAAGCCAGCAGATGGAGGGTTGCTTCTCTTTAAGTTGAACCATTGTGAATGTTAGCCTTCTACACTTGCCTCATCATTGGAAGAGAGAGATCGGAGAGCTGAGAATAAGCCTTTAACTGCCTTGTTTTGGAAGTGACAGGTTATCACTCTGCTCATATCTCATTTGTGAGAAACAGCCATTGGCTTCCTGTAACTTTAAGAGAATTGAGAAATATATGGGAGCAAATGGAACATTTGGTGAGTGTGACTGCTTCTTTTTTTTTAATTTTTATATTTTTTATTGCATTTTAGGTTTTGGGGTACATGTGAAGAACATGCAAGATAGTTGCATAGGTACACACATGGCAGTGTGATTTGTTGCCTTCCCCCCTTCACCTGTATCTGGCATTTTTCCCCATGCTATCTCTCCCCAACTCCCCACCCCCCACTGTCCCTCCCCTGTTCCCCCCAACAGACCCCAGACTACTTCTTCTACATGAAAAAATTATGACTTTTTGTTGTTTGTTTTCTTAAGCAATAGAAACACTTCTTACAATAAAATATATAAAGATATGAATGTTATACTTACATTTTTATAGATTTTTTTATACATAATATTGATACTGTCATAATGAAAGCATGTCCAGAGAGGCCTGAACCCCTGCCTGCTTGGACCTATACTTCATAGCAACTTGCCATGTGATTACACCCAAGGTGCCATGGACAACCCAGTGTGGAAACTGCCTAGTCTGATGATCTCAGAGATTACTTCTAACTTTTAAAATTCTATTTGTAAATAATGCTCCCATCTGTAAATGTATTAGGAGACTATATACAGCTGTTAAAAGCATTTTATCAATCCTTAAGGGTTTTTAACAATTTCTTTTTAAATTACAAACATGGCATATACTATTTAAAAAGCAAAACAATAAAACAATTTATTATTCCTGACAAAATTATTTTTATTTGTAATTTATTTATATATAATTACATTATGTATCACTTTATATTTTTATTTCATATTTTATTTAAATATGGTCTTTTTAATGATTATTTTTTATACATACAAAATTAAGGACTATAATTAACGAAACCAATCTTAAATATAATACTGCAAATTCTTAACTCTGTATCTGAAAATGTGTCAGTACAATAATAGCAGTTAGGTTTTGAAAAGGAATTCAAAAATTAGAAATAAAATGATTAAATCTAAAAAGATTTGCCTCAAGGAGGATTAGTAGGCTGAAAAGACTCTATGAACCAAATATATAATTTGAACCTAAACTAGAGTTTTTTAAATACTTTGCTGACAGTACTGTGTCTAAGCACTTCATATGAATTGTCTCACTTCTCATAACAATCTATGAATAATAGATAAACTTATTTTACAAATTATTTTACAGCAGAAAACTGAGGCTCAAAGAGTTTAGTATTTGGTATGGAGTTAGCCAAATAGATAGTGCCTTATCCTGGTCTCAAACCAGTATCTATCTGTCTAGCCTACACCTCTGCCTTCTGTTATATTAATATTAAGAGATGTTTTAAGGCAATTGTCTATGGTGTGGGCAAGTTGGTAAATAGACATTGCAGTTCTCTTGCCAGCCTTTTCCATTATCACTGTTTTCCTTTTAAAAGTATCTGCATTAAAAAGTGTATTAACATTTAGTTTAAAGATATAAAATATAAATAAAATGGTTAAAGTTTTTAATGCCACTGTATTTTCATGTGGTTCCATGAATTATGTTATCATAGAACTAATGAGAAAAAACAAATGATAAATTACTCTGTAGGTTAATATTGTTTCTGTTTTTGGACCCAATAAAATATGTTTAATATATTATATAAATTGAGTTCAGCAAGGAAACAACTTGTTTTAACTATCTTTGACCCAGTGTAAACCATATTAATGACACTAATAGTGTTACAAAAATGAGAAAAGTTGTAAGCAAATGTTGATTATTAATTATTCAACTATTAAGTAATTTGAGGCTAAAGGACCTTGACCTATATGTAGCATTAGCAAATGGATATAGGAACAAAGAAAGTAAAATTGAATATTGATATGGTTTGGCTGCATCCCCACCCAAATCTCAACTTGAATTGTATCTCCTGGAATTCCCAGGTGTTGTGGGAGGGACCCAGGGGGAGTTAATTGAATCATGGTGGCTGGTCTTTCCTGTGCTGTTGTCATGATGGTGAATAAGTCTCATGAGATCTGATGGGTTTATCAGGGGCTTCTGCTTTTGCTTCTTCCTTATTTGCTCTTGCCCCCACCACATAAGAAGTGCTTTTTCTCCTCCTGCCATGATTCTGAGGCCTACCTAGCCATGTAGAACTGTAAGTCCAATTAAACCTCTCTTTCTTTTTTCCTAGTCTTGCATATGTCTTTATCAGCAGCATGAAAATGGACTAATACAAATATCCATTTTCTTCTTAATAATATGTTTATCTTAATGTCAGTTAATTTAATAACATTCTACTTTAAAAGATGCAGCACAATAATAATCTTATTGGTGACCTTTATCTTCTGAATTAGAGATCCAAATTTTGTTCCTAAGTCAAGATGTAGACTACAGATGTGTTTTTCTTCGTCCTAAGTAGTGTTAATAATAATTATTTGTCTATATTTTGAATTTGGGATTATGATAGGTAGAATAATGACACCCCAAAGATGTCCACACCTGAAGCCAAGAACTCATGAGTATGTTACTTTGTGTAGCAAATGGGACTTTACTCACATTAAGGTTATGGACCAGAGCTTAAAATAAGGAGATTATCCTAGATTTCCCAGTTGAAATGGGCCCAATCTATTAATATTAACATTTAAAAACAAAATGTTTTACTTACCTTGAAGGCAAACAGTTGTGGCATCAGGGAAAGTCTGACTATTCAAATCATTAAAGAGAGATTGAATTTACCATTGTTCAAGGGAGGCCATATGCAAAGCGTGGGAAGGATTGGAGGTAACTTTGAGTAGCAAAGACTGTTCCCAGAGAGGAAACAGACTTAGTCCTACAACCAACAGAAATTGAATTGTGCAAAACTTGAATGAGATTAGAAGAAAATTCATCCTAGGGTCTCAAAAAATAAATATAACTTGCCAACATCTTGATTTCAGACCTGAAAGACTCTCAGCAAACGACTCAGTCCTGCTGTACCAGGATTTCTGATCTAGAGAACTGTGAGAAAATAAAGGAGTGTTATTTTAACCCCCCCAAATTTGTGATAATTTATGACAGCAAAATAACACTAGTGTTGGGATATCTCTCATAGAAATTCATGGTTCTGCATAGACTTTCTGGTTTGGCTGCATGAGATTGGAGTTGAGTAGTAGCTGTCTTATTTGGTTGGAGCCCATGATTCTTTTTTACTCATTAACACCTGACCACTTTACACAAATACATAACATACTTTTCCAATTGCCATTTGTATTTTCAACAGTTGTTCTCAAATTTAGAAGAGAGACATCAGCAAGATGGTGAAATACAAAGTCCTGGACCCTCCTTCCCTCCACAAATACACTGATTTGACAAAAATTCATGGACAGATTCCCTTTGTAAGAAACCAAGAAACTGGTTAAGAGGCTCTTATATCCCAGGTGAGTACAAAATCAGCCACATCGAAGATGGTTGGGAAGTTCAAGACACTTTCTTGCCATAATTTCTAAACTGGCACAGTACTATATGATTGAGATGAATCTCCCCACATCCAAGCTTCCTGCTGGGGATGAGAGGAGGTATACCATATGTCCAGTATTCCAGATCTTTTAGCAGCTACCCAGGTAGGAGTGGATCCAGCTCTGTCCAGGTTGTCTTAGAGCACTGATGAAGCTTGCATTCTCTAGTGGCCAAAGACCAATAAGATCAGTGACAGTGCTGTGGGCAGGTGGTTACAGTAGCCCCTGCATTTGGCTTTTTACAGAGAAAGTGGATGAAAACTCCCAGATTCTAGGTTCTCCCTGCAGTGGTAATAAGTTGGACAAAAAAATCCAATGACTCAACTTTTCTGGAGGATTCCTGAGGAATTGGCTTCAGTATTGCGTTTGTCAGAATGCTAGTGGACCTGGCACTCTAGACCTCTGGGAGCCATTAAGAACAAAGAAAGCAGATTGGACTAGCATGAAGGTTTGAGGTGCTCCCAGATTCTCTGGTCAGGCTGATAAGGGAGGGTCTGCTGTGAAGCCACCTGAACACTAGGACAGTGTTCAGCCTGTGAACACTAGGACAAGTGGCTGGTTTTTGTAATGCCAAGACACCAACACAGACAGTCAAACAAATAAAAAACAAAAGAAATATGTTAGAAGCAAAATACAAATATAAATTTCTAGAAACTGACCTCAGTCAAATGGAGATATATGATGTAGCAGATAGAGAATTAAAAATAACCATCATAAAGATGGTCACTGAGGTCAGGAGGACAATGTGTGAATAAAATTAATTTCAACAAATAAATAGAAAACTTAAAAAATATTAAGCAGAAATCATGAAAAACAACACAATTAACTAACCAAAGAAATCAGTAGAGTAATTAAAAAGCAGACTAGATAAAGCAGAAGAAAAGATTAGCAAACTTAAAGATGTCATTAGAAATTATTCAGTCAGAAGACAAATACAAGAATAAAAAAGAATAAAGAAATTCAAGGAGCTTATGAACAGCATTAAGCTTACCAAATATATAATATGAGATTGCAGAAGGAAAAGAGAGAGAAATAACCAGACAGCGTATTCAAAGAAATAATGGCCCTAAACTTCCCAATTCTGAGGAAGGAAACATATACCCAGAAACAGAAAGCCTAAAGGATCCCAAATAAGAAGACCTGAATAAGTACACACTGGAATAGATTATAATGAAATTGTCAAATGTTGAAGACAAAAAGAATTTTGAAAGCATCAAGAGAAAATCATTTTTTCACATATAAGGGAATCCTCATGTAAACTCTTGGCTAGTTGCTCAGCAGAAACCTTGCAGACCAAAAGGCAGTGAGATGAATTCTGAGTGCTGAAAGAAAAGAAATCAAACCAAAACAAGAGAACTGCAAACAAGAATACTATCCTCAGCAATGTTCCCCTCTAAAAATGAAGTAGGAGAGATTTCTCAAGCAAATAAAAGCTAATAAAGTTCATCACTACTAGAACTTCTCTATAAGAAATGCTAGAGGTTACAGGAAAGCAGTGTGTTGGGAAAAAAATGTTAAAGAAACTTCTTAAAGCCAAAACAAAAAGTTACTAAAGAGCAATAAAATAATATAAAAAATAAGAAGCTTGGCGAGTTAAGTATATACACAAATACAGAATACCATAATTACTGTAATAGTGGCGTGTAAATCATTTTTAATTCTAGTATAAAAGTTAAAAGACAAAAGTATTAACAACACTATCAAAAATGTTGATGGATACACATTATAAATAAATGTACATTGTGACATCAATAACATAAGGTGTCACGAGGGAGAGTAACAGTGTAGGTTTTTTATATGCAATTGAATTTAAGTTGCTATGACCTTAAAATAGACTGTTAATAACTGCGAAATATTTTCTACAATCCCTTTGGTAATCACAAAGAAAATATCTATAGAAGATACACAAATAGGGCCAGGTGCTGTGGCTCATGCCTGTAATCCCAGCACTTTGGGAGGCCGAGGTGGGTGGATCACAAGTCAGGAGTTCAAGACCAGCCTCACAAACATGGTGAAACCCCGTATCTACTAAAATTACAAAAAATTAGCCAGGCATGGTGGTAGGTGCCTGTAATCCCAGCTGCTGGAGAGGCTGAGGCAGAGAACTGGTTGAACCTGGGCGGCGGAGGTTGCAGTGAGTTGAGATGGCACCACTGCATGGCACTCCAGCATGGGAAACAGAATGAGACTCTGACCCCCCTAAAAAGAAGATACATAATAGAGAAAGGAATCAAAATACGTCACTACAAAAAAATCAACCAAGCCTAAAGGAGGAAAGCAAGAGAGTGAGTGACAAAAGAACTACCAGAGATACAAAACAACTAAAATACAAATAGTATGTTTTTATTAATAATTATTTTAAATGTTTATGAAGTCTCCTCAATCAAAAGAAATAAAGTGGATAAATTCATCAAAAAACAAGATTCAATTACATGTTGTCTACAAGTAATTTTAGGTTTTAAGACATACACTTTGAGTGTTAAAGGAGGAGGAAGAGATCCCATGAAATGAGAACAACAACATAAAGGAGCAGGGTAGCTGTACTTACTTCACACAAAACCGAATCTCAATCAAAACTGTCAGAAGACACAAAAAGGAATCTTATATAATAAGAAAATAATACATTTGTCAAGAAGACATAAAATAAATAGATATCACCCATCATCAGACCACCTAAATATATAAAGACAACATTGAGAGAACTGCAGGTAGAAATAGACAGCAATAAAATAATAGTAAGAGATTTTAATGCCTCACTTTCAATAATGGATAGAATAGCAGAGAGAAAGTTAACAAATAAATTGAAAACATTAACAACTCTAAAATGGACTTAACAGACATATAGAGAACATTCCACTCAATAGCAGCAGAAAATACACTTTTTTTAAAAGCATATATGGAACAGTTTGGAGCAGAGATCATATTTTGGCTCACAGAAAATTCTTATGAAATTTAAAAGAATAAAATCATACCAAGTATCTTTGGATTGACTGAAACTGGACATCAATGGCAAAAGGAAAACTGAAAAATTCACAAATACGTATAAACTAAACACCACACTTTTGAACAACCATGGGGTCAAAGAAGAGATCAAAGGGAAATTAGAAAATATCTTGAGACAAATAAAAATAAAAATACAACTTACCAATAACTATGGGTTGTAGCAAGAATAGTAACAAGAGGGATACAAGCACAGTACCCATATACATGACACATGCATATATTTAAAAAAAGAATGATTTCAAATAAAAAAACTAATTTTACACCTCAAGGAACTAAAAAATGAAGCAAAAACAAAGGCCAAAATTGACCCAAAGAGAAAATAATAAAGACTAGAGAAGAAATAGACAAAATAGAGACTAGAAAAACAATAGAAAAATCAATGACACTGAGTTGATTTCTGTTAAAGATAAACAAAATTTAAAAAACATTACTTAGCCTAGGAAAATAAGAGGGAAGATTTAAGTAAATAAAATTGGAAATGAAAATGGAGACATTACCACAGATGCCTCAGAAATAAAAAGGATCGTTAGAGGTTACTATAAACAGTTTTATGTCTGCAAACTGGGTAACCTAGAAGAATTAAATATATTTTTAGAACAGGCAGCCTATTTAGGCTGAATCATAAAGAAATAAAAAGTCTGAATCGATCTATATTGAATCAAAGGGGATTGAATCAGTAATTTTAAAATCTCCCAAGAAAATAGCCCAGGACCAAATAGCTTCATCAATTTATCAACATTTAAAGAAGAAATAATTCCAATCCTTCTCCAATTCAAAAAATAGACATAGAAGGAACACTACCAAAGTCATTTTATCAGACCTGCATTACCCTGTTACTAAAGTGAGAACAAGATAGCTCAAGAAAACAAAACTTCAAGCCAGTATCTCTAATGAATATAGATACAGAAAGCCTCAACAGAATACTAGCGAACTGAATTCAATAACACGTTAAAAGAACCATACACCATGATCAAGTGGGAATTTTCCCTGGGATACATGTATGGTTTAACTCAAGCAAATCAATTTATGTGTACCACATTAACAGATTGAAAGAAAAAAGTCACATGATCATTTCAACTGATGCAGAAAACCATTTGACAACAATAAACACCCTTTTGTTATTAAAAAGATACTCTGCAAACTATTTATAGATGGAATGTACCTCCACATAATGTATGCCATATATGACAAGCCCACATCTAACATCATAATAAATCGTGAAAAACTGTAAGCTTTTCCTGTAAGATCAGAAATAAGGCAAGGATAGTACCAGAAATTCGAACACAGAGCAATTAGTCAAGAAAAAAAAAATAAGAGACATCCAAATAAAACAAGAAGAATTAAAATAATTGCTATTCACAGATGACATGACATAGAGAACTCTAAAACCTACACAAAAAAGTTGTTAGAACTAATAATTCCAGAATATTTGAAAGATACAAAATAAGCACATAAAATCAGTTGCTTTTCTATGAACTAACAAACTATCTTCTTCAAAAATTAAGAATACAATTCCATTTACCATACCATCGAAATGAATAAAATACTTAGCAAAAATCTAAATGGAGGCAAAGCACTTGTACACAGAAAACTACAAAACATTGGTGAATGAAATTGAAGACTACACATGCAAGTGGAAAGATACCAGTGTTCATAGATTGGAAGACTTAATGTTGTTAAAGTGTTGACATTACCCATAGCAATCTACAGATAAAATGTAATTATTATCAAAATCCCAATGACATTTAAAAAAATAGATAATCCTAAAACTTTATGAAACCAAAAAGACCCTAAATGTCCAAAACTACCTTGATAAAGAAAAACAAAACTGGAGGCATCAGATGTCCTGATTTCAAAATATAGTACAAATTGCTGGTGTGTGGCCCATGCCTATAATCTTAGCTCTTAAGGAAGCAGAG